TTCGGAGAGGTTTTTGATGGCTAAATTTAAACTTATTTACTATTAAAATTAATTGTTCTTTTTCACTACTAATTTTTTCGACCGAATTAATTGTATACATAACTACAGATTAGTGGTTCTCAATCGGGGTGACACGGACCCAGTGTAGAGGAGACACGAATTTTTTTATATCACGTAAATAAGAAATAACAGCAAGAAAAATCGGTAAAATGAACCGGTGGATCCGACGAAAATTGAATTGGCAATATTAAATTTTGGAAGACGCTACTAATTTTATTTATAATATTTTCAAAATGTTACGCTTCTAATACGAATAAATTATAAAAGTGTCTGTTTAAGAAAGTCAAATATTTTTCAGGCTAGAAGAATAGATTGTTTTGTTTAGATAATCGGTCCGTTAGAAAAACAACTAAATTTTTTTTTTTTACAAATTTGCGTAGAAAATAGTTGGTTCTTGGCAAAATAATCACCATGTTTAATTATGATAATACTTTATTGTTTTACAAAAAGTAACATTTTATACTGATCGGGATTTTCGGGATTTAAATATTTTTAACATTCATCGTCTACTTCGATATGATTTATATAAAGGTTTACTTGTACACTTCCTTACCCGTCTAATTTTTAAACGGGCGGGATTCCAACGCGAACACGGTTTTCTTGTTTCACACGGCGAAGCACTCTTATTTTCATAATAATATTTTATAGAATATAGTCGAATATTATATAGTTTTACAGTGGCCATTATTCTACATTCACGTATATTTTAGATTTTGAGCGAGCCGAGGAATGTGTTAGTTTTTTTCATGCATGTCCATCGGCAAATTCCTATAGGTATAAAAATGTTATAGATCGATTCGTAAAAACTAAAATCCAAAGAATTGATTTGATAATCAAATGTTGTTAAAATCATGAGTCTTATAAGCATTTATCTTGAAAATAATAGCCGTTATAATTTTTAACAAATTTCGACGGAGGAGGGGGGGGGGTTGAACGTTCAAAACCGCTTCTTAGATACGGTTTTGATATTGAATGTGTATAAAAATGAATATTGTACGAAGGAAATATTTTGTTAAAAATTTCGATTGTACGAGTTGTAAATTAATAGTCAAAATATTATAATATAAAACGATTCACCGATAAAGTTATGGATCACACGATATTATATTAGGAATTTTAAATAATTTTAGGAATTTTTAACATTAACACCCAGTTCAACAAGAATAAACCTAAGTTTATAAGTTGTAATCTGACTTTCGTTGGGACCAGTCGTTACAGTCATCCATTTCCGTTATCTAATACTGTATACCATGAAGTGTTTAAAGTGCAATTGTGTGTTGGCTGTTTCCGACTGTATTGAATACTTAAAATGTTCTAAACCGCACCTATTACCTGTTCGTCTATGTCTAGGTTAACTGACAATAATCTTTTAACGCGTAGTGCTTTGAAGCTGTGTACTACTTGTAAGGGTGTAAGACTTGGAGTCAGAAAATCTCCGGTACCTCAATTAACTTTGGACTCTTTAGATGACGATTACTTATCTAAAATAAATACCATTCTTTATTTGGTAAATTAAATTAAAAAATCAGTTTCTAAACATAAATCGTTGTTTTCGAAACCTAATAATAAACTTGATGAAGTTTCTAATTAACTGTTTGGTTTGGGTGGTCGTACTTAAGTGCTCAAAAATAGAGTCAACTAATTAGAAACCCGTTTATCTAGTAATACTTTTTTAAACTCTTACTCGGATGAGTTCGTAATATCCGACGTTATTATTCGACAAGCAAAATCCCGTAATATAATTATTTTTAATAATCCAGAATTTGATAGAAATAACGGGAATGGTACATCGCTAATAAAATCTGTCTTATATAAATTAACTCCAAACATTGAAGTCAAAAATCAAACAAACCTCGTCCACTTAATGTTACATTACATGAGCTGTCCGATGTTTTTATTATACTCAAAAACAAGCAAAAACTTCGTACATCTGAATTCTTATCTAAATTATTATTTTTAATTGTTTTCAATTTGATAATGTTTTAAATAGTACTGGTTCAATGCTAGACTTACTTAAGAAAGCTTACTGCTAGGAAATCATCTATACCATGGTCGATACGAAGTATGCTCAATATAGACGGGAGATCAAGACAGGTTAAACACTAGGTAATAATGGCAAAACGGGGAATAAAAAAAAACGGAGTGTGAATGAAGGAATGAGCAAAGCGTAGCCCATTTTATTATGGAGTATTGCGCTATAGGTTTTTTTTTTTTTTTTGGTGTGTTGAAATTCGGAATCTAGTATAATATTATTGTGTTCGCATAGTGTATCTCTCGACTGCAGATATCCGATACGAATACGAGTTTTTGATGTTTTATACGTTGGTATAATACTTGCACGTATATTCGTAGATATTCGTATACCGTGTTCATACGCGAGTAAAACGAAATAAAATAAATCAAAAACAAGGCGTTACGTATATAATAATGAATCGTGACTTTTAAAAAAAAAAAAAAAATGTTCGAAAATGTTGAACAAATAAAAACATTATTATCGTACGTCGAAACATTTTCGATGTATATTTTTATCACGTGAAGAATTTCGAAATGCGTGCATATGAAAAACGCCAAAGTATCTATCGTCAATATTATCATATAATATTGTAAAACATAAATATCGAAGTTGACAAAATGCGTGCCGTTGTTGTAAAATATGATGATAAACCAGCAATTGAAATTACTTTCGCGTAATAATATTCGGTTTAACATCAAGTTGGAATGACGTGATGTTGGCGTAAATTCGTTTTTGTCGCTTGTCAATAACCACTTAATTTTGAGGTTTTTAAGAACAAAAAAAAGTCAACAAAAAATAATCCGTTTACGATAGTGAATAATGGTTTAGAATTTCTACAATGACCATAAAAAATGTTATCTTGTTCGGTTTTCTTTTTCTGATTTCGGATGAAAAACAATTTAATTTTAAGTACACTCGACAATAGGCAATAAGTAAGTTCAAAAATAAGATAACAGTACAGTTAATTGCATTTGGGGATCCGATAAGAATATATTATGATTGCCCATTGAAGATTTTTTTCAATGAGAACTATACCAGATAAATTTAAAAAAAAAAACTGATATCGGGGACAGGCGCAGCAACTGTTGTAGATGGAAGGTGGGTAGTCGGGTAAGTGGGATACATAAAGGTTATTTAATTTATACATGTAATCAAAGATAAATCATTGATAACGAAAAACGATTTGGACCGAATAGTTTGGTTACACAGATTTTGAAATGCCGTAATATTTACAATTTTCTTCAAAATTTGATTCTAAAATTTTAAAAAAAAAACACACAAATTAAAATCAATACTCTACTAGCTTCGCTCAGAATCTAAAAGAAGGTGATACTACTGACGTGCGTGCCACTATTGTAGGTTGAAAGTTGATAAGTGTACATTATAAACCGAGTATTATAAGTCGTATTATTGTCTGTGTTTTCCAGGTACTTAACCCAGACATCTTCAAAAATTAAACTTATAATTGCTAGTGTTTCCCATTTATTAAGAAAATTACATGGAAAATCAAAAAATTTTATTCTCAATGCATAAATTCTACAAGAAAGTCACTGTGATGTTTTTGATTGGAGCAAGTTTTCTGGTAGAGAAGTCAAACACACACACATACACACTAAACACTGTAGGTAGTAAAACCATACAATCTTCGCTTCGCTCAGAACCGAATAAGCAAAGGCCTCTGATGCTATACGTTATTATCAAAATGACAAAATATATAGCTATGTTATTATATTATATTATGGAACATCAAATCGGAAATGCTAGCGATTTATTTGCCGTCCGTGACCGATTACAGTGAGTACAGTACGACATACCTATCCGAAACTTCTTGTTACACCACGAAAGGTACAACGAAAAGGAATATACATGTAGTATATATTATATTACGATGTCGTTGAAATGTTTCATGGGTTTTTCACCGTCGGAAGGGATCGCACTAGACCGATAAAGTCGTCCTTACAACCTTCATAATTTAATAATTTTCGTGTTAACAGCGGGGAGGGAACGGGATTAGTTATTTATGGGTCAAAATCTGTATACGATATTATGTAGCGATTCGGTTTTTATTAGTGTTTTTTAGTGCGTAGGTTTGATGGTGATAATATTATGTTTCGACAATTTAGCCTAAAAATATATAGTATTTCTAAAAGTAATCAGGAAAAGAAATAATTGTTGACAAATAAAACTGATTTTGAAGATTTAAGTGTATTTGGTATTGATTATTTTAAATTAAAACCCGTGTTGGTTCATCAGGTTTATTAAATAGCAAAAAATAACTTACACAAAGGGTTTTTTTTTTTTTGTAAAATTATATTCTCATACAAATTGCTATGAATAAAACTATTGATTGCTACGTGAAATTAAAAGTTTGAGAAATATGTTACTAAAAGCTGACACATTCTTTCGCGTTTTTGATGTCGACGATTATCTTCTGCCAGAACACGGATCAATTTTTTTTTGGATCCTGATCGGCATTGTAAATGACAAAGAACACCATTTGTTCCCCGCGGTGTCACTGAAAGTTTCTCTAGGAGGGTTAAGTTAAGGGTTTTTTAAACATAATTTCAGAAGTACACGTCATTTCAAAACTAGTCTGCGCATGCGTACCTATTTTTTACATATATTGTTACCTCGCACCACAACTTCTACATACCTAATTCGGCCGCTAGTCACTGGGTCAACCGCCAATACATAGAAGCCCGTCGCGTGGCGGCGCGACATTATTCATTCTTTTTTTTTCACTCACGAGCCGCCTTCATTTTAAAAGTATTAGTCTCGTTCGGATGTCGTCGACGCCACTACTTCTGTCTGCCGAACAAAATACACACGCCGACAAAATGATCCATCTCGTCGTGAACTTCAGTGATATGAAAGCAAAATTAATTGATGCCAAAGAAAAGTTAGTCATCGTCGATTTCTTTGCCAAATGGTGTGGGCGTGTGGCTCATGCAAATTAATTGCTCCGTTCATCAAGAAATCGGTCAACGATAACTCAGACGTAGTAATGCTGAAAGTTAATGTTGACGAATGTGAAGAAGCCGCAATTCAATACAACATTCCATGTCCACATTTGTCTTTATAAAGTCAAATCAAAGGAATATTTAGTGAAATACAAATGATATCAAAATTGACTTCAACTTTAGTCCCGTTCATGAGCCTGTATATATTCAATAAACTTTTTCCTTTTTTTTTTACGATAAACTGAAAACAAACAGATTTTATATTATCATAAATTAAAATATTTTTGTTAAATTTATACTGAAAAAAAATAAATATTGCGCCGCCGGGATCCTACGTATTGGCGGTTGACCCAGTGACTTTCGCCGAATTAGGTATAATATAGAAGTTGTAGTGTAAAGTAACAATATTTAATTTTAAAAAATACGCAGATAAATTATAAAACGGCGTTTACGCTTTACATCGTATTAAAAAAACAATATTTAAATATGTAGACAGAAAATTAAATAACGATCTTGTGTGTTGATAACTGTTGAGACGGTGGTCGTACGAAGATGGCGTGAATAACAAACGATAAGCGTACTTCTCAGACACGTTTGAGTCCACGGTGGGCAGTAGCGACATGAAAAAAAAAACCGTACAAACTGCGGGACGATAACAGACGACGCTGATGGACGAAGTCAAAGGCCACGTGCTGCAAAAATAATGAAAAAACCAGAGATGCGAGTCCGGCGGTCGTAAATCGCCGTACACATAGAAGGAACGCAACAACAACGCGACCAGACCAGCCGGCACCATACACGCCACGGAGACGACGTGGCAGTGGTTTCAAACTTGTCTCCAACAATATCATATGTATATTATGATGGTTGATTCATCGTTGTACGTCTATAATGCATTTATTGAACTTTAATTTTTTTTTCGGCCAGTGGTTTTCGAGATTAGCCCGCCGACAAACAGACGGTTAAACTGCAATTGTTGCAGTCATACAAACGTCACTTCAATTGTATTTTATGTCTACGGATTTATTGGATTTTATAATTTTAAAAATAATTAAATCGTCGTATAGCCCATCATGTCTAAAACAAAAAACCATTTGTAAGAGGAACGCTTGATGCAATAATTATTACAAAATTCGAATAACGTGTGAATATTTGCATATGATTTGCAATATTTTTTTCCGGATTTGGCGAGTAAAAATAATCGAATGGTTATCCACGCTGTTCGTTCTGATTTAAATAGAACAATTATACGATATTATCATAAAAAATGTATACCGTTGAAAATTTAATTCCCATTCGTTCACGCAAAGTGCCAAACTTAAAAGTGGTATAATTCGTCGACGGGTACACAGAAATAATTACAAATGTCAGTGCCAAAATGCAGTTAAACTAAAATTTCGTCTATTTATGGAATTGTCGATATTATATCCGTGAATCAAAAGCTGGGAGGAGGGAGCAGCGGTTTCAACCCCTAAACTAAAAGCGACCAGAAATAACGGGTGTAATGAAATTATTTTTTTCTCGAAATGTCTAAAAAACCAATTCCGAAAAAAAAAAAAAAAAAAAAAAAAAAAAATATGGTTATGTCGATCCACCTGTATTGTTACGGACAATAATATAACAGCCGTTTCCTCCATTAGCGCGTTCGGTATAATACCTAACGCGTGTGCTGTATTCGGGTGGATCCGGCCGACATCGTAAATTCAACACCTATAATATGCATTGCATTATATTATAGTATCGGGGATCGCAATCGCACGCAATACACTTGTTATTACTATGCGCGCACGTCTATATCAATTTCGTTCGGAGGAAACGTTCACGCGCGTTCGCCCCGTACGAATGATAATATATTATAGGTATTCTCCCGATTCGTCGGCACGTCGGCGCAAACGTTCTGCCGCTCGAACGAACAGAATATCAAACAAAATAGAACAAACTGTCCATGGATTATGATGGGTTCGGGTGTAGCCACTGTCATAGGTAATTTAATGTATATCCGTAAGCAACGATTAACCATCGCTAACGAAAAACCGATTCTGAGCGGAGTTCGGTTTATAGTGCTGCATTGCCAATAATATATAACATGTCATATTACGGTAAAATAATTACATATGTATTATATTTTATATTTTCGCTATAATATTTGTCTAACGTTGAATTCATTACCCCTTTTTTCCTACGATTTTCCCGTTTATCGAGAAAATTCCTGGGAAAATCAAAAATGATCTTCTTAAATTACCTGCCCAGTTTGATTTCCTATATGAAAAAATGCTATCATTGTAAATCGGAGAAAAGTTGCTGGTAGAAAGGTTGTCCACAGGAAAAAAAAATAAACACCATTATAAAACGTATACATTCCTCGCTCCACTCAGAATCTAAAACAGACGTCAGGGGTCAGACCACTGCACTTGCAGGCGGGACATTGGAAAAATTACGGGATAGTTTAGGTAGGTAAAGTTATCGAGTTTTTTGTAGATGTTACTGTGAAATTGAATCGTCGCAAACAAAAAATGATTTTAAACAGAGTTCTAAGTTCGATTTTACATTATTTTTTGATTACACTTGACTTCTTAAGTCATTAATTAATATAAATGTATATATGTATAAAGTATTTTTTTTGTAACTTTAAAATTAACAAAAGTCACATGACTCATCTTTTGTCTCCCCGAGTACAAATTATGATAAATACGTACATTATTACGTAGTTGAAATAGTTTTATTTATATAATAGTAGGTGTTCGATTAATGTTAATGGATTTTAAGATTTTCGTCAAACATATTATCATCGTTTTGTTGTTCGGTTTTTTTTTTAAATAAATTTAGAAAGAAGTGTTAGGAATCCAAATAAAATAGATAGGTAGTGAAAATTCGGGCGAAAAATCCGCGTCGTTAACGGCGTAACAGGAAAGAATCGGATCATTTTTACTCACTCGTTTACAAAAAAAAAAAAAACCAAACGATGACGCCACGAATGAGTAAATTTAGTACTACAGCGAATACTTGCATCCCGGTATTTGCGTGCTGTATAAACATTAATTTACACAAATACGTAATAAAAACTTTTTCCCACTGCATTCTCTGTTTCAATTCTTGTCACTATCACTGCAGTTAACCGTTATTGCCCTTGAATGTTTAAAAATGCTTTTGCTTTTATTTCCATTTAAAACTTAAAAGAATTATTTATATTGCTGCTAAACAATAAAAAAATATCTAAAAATTATTATTTTTTATCCAGTCCAAATAACTGCAGGTTAAGTCTACTACTTCTACTGGTAAGATCGAGGATTTCAATAGTTTAAAACTTTTTCCAAACAACGTGGACCAATTTTCGAAAAACCACGTAAAAATTGGAGTAGTTTTGGGGCGAACCTATGATAAAAATTTCTATTTTTACTTTTAATGTACTTTTATTACATAGATTATTAGATTATTGTCTCTCTCGGCTTTGCCGTCCCATGCTCATCTTTTTGGTAAGTTAGGTAAGTTAAAAAAAAAAAAAAAAAATTTATAATAGTCTTTTTCCTTCTCGTTTTAACCCAGACCCTGTAGCCCAAGTACCACGACATCAGAAAAAAAGATGGCCGTATATATTTTTTAACTAATACCTACATTTCTTACATTTTCCTGTTTTCCTCCGTTTTTTCCCGTTTTTTCTCATTTGTTGATAAAACTCCTGGAAAAATCGAAAAATGATCTCTTTAAAGTACCTTCTCCAGTCAGATTTCTTTTTTGAAAAAATACTATCATTTTTAAATTGGACAATATTGGTGATAGAAAAGTTGTCCACAGAAAAAAAAATCGTAATAATTTACTAATATATTTCGTATAATCATTGCTAACGAGTAAACGATTCTGAGTGGAAGTCAGTTGATAAAGTGATGCTTTGTCAACAATAACATGTATGTCATATTACAGTAAAATAATTAAATAGCTATTAGAATATATTTTTAATATATGTAGTTTAATATAATATATATTGTATATTATATAAAAATGTGAAAATGGAAATCTTTGTCATGCTTGATCTCTGAAAATACTAGACCAATTTTTACGTGGTTTTCATAATATATTATATACTATATGTATATAATACATGTATATTGCTTTTTGGTTGTACCTTTTGCGGTGTAAATATAATAAGTTTCGGATAGGTATGTCAGAGTCAGAGTTCACTGCAGTCGTTCATCGACGGAAAATAAATCGCCGGCATTTTCGTTTTTATGTTCCATAATATATAACATGTTCCGATAATAACCTATGCAGAAAGGGCTTTGCTTATTCGATTTTTGAGCAAAACGAGAATTGTATGATTTTTACTAAGGTGTTTTTTTTTTTTTTTTTGTGACTACCAGAAAACTTGTTCCAATTAAAAACTTAATAAAAACATTTTTGTAGGTTTTTTTATTTAGTGGTCAAAACAAAAAAAAAAATTTAGTTTTATTCTAAAAACGTTAAACTCGGATAAGAAAAGCAGGAAACGTCGGTGTTGTATTCGGTGATCAAAGTGCATCTGTAAAAAATAATCAGCATATCCGTTTCAGCTGACGATTATGCTTTGTTTAACCTACCGAATGATGAGGTAATATAAGAATTACATATTTAAAAATGTTGATTAAATATCTTCTTCATATTATTGACACGTTCTTCACTCTTATAAAACATAAGAAAAATATTTGAATTTTATATAATGTCATCACCCATCAAGGGTGAATCCAGAAATTCTTCACGGGAGAGGCGCAGATTAACAAAAAAAATGTCATACACAAAATTCTAAAATTACAACACCTGCACTAAAATAAAGGTATAATACTACAATATCCAATTTTCGCGTGATTTGAGGGGCTGCACTATGACACAGGGTGTAGAAGGCGTGCTTTCCTTCACCTCCCCTATTTGGTACATTTTCAATAACATTAACGGTAATACCACTGGATATAGCATCTAATATAGTATCTTATCTATGGGTAAAAATTAATTTATCTATAGCTAGTACCTATCTAGATTAGTTTTTTTCAAGTATCTAGTTTGTCTGTGATTTTATGGGCTTGATGTAATATTCTTAGCAATAAAATGAAGTACAAATTATCTAAAACAAAAATCGAACCGCCAAATTATTTAT